CAACTAGATTCACTTTATTTGGTAAACCAAAGCAAGTCTCAAATAATATCTACTAAAATACATTGTACATAAATCAGAAACACTTTCATATTAGTCAATATTACTGTAATTTATAAACTTAATAAATATAGATTTACACGTTTACTCAAGTGGATAAACAGAATTAACGATGAGCTAAAAATCAGCAAAATTCTGCGCGTGCAGATTCTGTGTTGGCCTAATGCTGCATTGATGAATGCAGTTCAGACTTGGGTATTCAGCAACAGCTATGGGGATTTCCTGAGTTTCATCAGTTATTTAGAGTTTCGTATGAGCACCCTATTTGGTATTTGGAGGAGATTCAATTATTTTTAAATGTTTTATTTTATTTTTTTTTTAAATGGACTTTGAATGCAATGTTGTTAAAAAGATTTACTGTCCTTTTATTAGTGCAGCTAAAGGGAGGTAGTAATTATAGATGTTTTTTTTATTTAAATGTGTAAATGATTTATTAAAACAATTTTATTTTTGTTTTGTTTTTTTGTTTTTAAAGTATAGAAAAGGTTTGACTGAAGAGTAGAAGGAGAGCGATTGAGAGAGGGGTACTCTGTTTGGGACATGACCCAAACTGAACTCGGACCCTGATCCTCGTGATCCCAACAGTTTCTTGTATGTCAAGAACAGTGTGTTATCCTCTGTCTCTGCTCCTACATTGTTTGATTAAAAAAAATTTATTTCTGCCTTTTTAACCGTTGTGTTGGTGTACCCACTTCAGATGCAGCCTTTGTACTGGTTTGTGTAGTGTAAATAATTTGAAGCAAAGTTTATCTGAGGATAATTTATTTTTTATTTAATTTTTTGTTTTAATTTGAGTTTCTCACGTGAGCTTTCTTTGCATTTCTTTAATCATGTTATGTTAAAGTGCCATTTGTCTGTCATTTTTATCCCGTTTGCCCACTGAATAGAGCTTCTGTGTGACATTTGGGTTGACACCATGATTTGTCGTCATCTACTTTCTCGGTCCTGCTTTGCCCCTCAATCACAGCTGCCTGCCAGATGCCTCAGTTTTGTGATTTAAACCTGTCGAAGATAATGTCTGCATTTCAGAGTGGAGTCCATTTTCATTTTGCTAATACTTTTTCTGCACATTTTGAGGAGGAAAAAATTATCTGGCATGAGTGTCAACTAGTATAGATGGAACTATATTTGGTTTATTATATTCAAATTATGTTTATATAATATTCAAATTAAATAAACAAAACATATATATATATAAGATTTATATAGCAAACTATAGCATGTTAAAAAAATTAAAAAGCTTAATCTTGGTATTTTATGGCATGCTGCTAATATTTAGTCTTTATTTTTATTTATTTATTTTTTTTTTAGGTTTAGAATTCTTTTCAGTATCTATTTTAAAAATGAAATCCTTGTCAGTCAGACCTAGTCATGATGTTCGCCAAGCTGGCACATTCAACTGAGCGGTCCTAATGAGACGTTATCAAATGTTACTGTTCTGTTTTAATGATTGAAACCACCCAATCAAACAAGTTACAGCCTGAAACCAGAAACTTGGAGCCATTTTTGTTCTAGGAACTAAATGATCTCCTGGTACAGAGCAGGGTTTAGTCAAGAACAAACTAAGGCATCGAACACAAAAGAAGATATTTTTAGGAATGCTGGTTGATGGAACCCATCGACTTCCATGGTCAGAGTAAAATAAAAATATGGATGTCATTGGGTCACAGCAACCAGCATTAATAAAAATATCATCTTTTGTTCAGTAGAATATATAAATTTTTTTTTTTTTTTTTTTTTTTTTTTTTTTTTTTTTTTTAACAAGTGAATTTGGAGTAAAAAGGTATGGTTGAAAACTGCCATTTTAAAGTGTTACAAGACACGTTTGGTGTTAGCAGCATTCATGATGTCCTCCTCTACAATTGTGAGGCTTTTTCTCAGCCTCAATGAAATTCAGAATTGCTTTTATTATTATTATTATTATTATTATTATTATTATTATTATTATTATTATTGTTGTCTTCATGAAAGAAGGTCACTGGTTTTAGCCCTGGCTAGGTCAATTGGCAATTCTGTGTGTTTGCATGTTCTCCCTGTGTTTGCGTGGGTTTCTTCTAGGGGCTCTGGTTTGCCCTACAAGTCCAAAGACATGCGTGGTAGGTGAAATTGTGTTATCTAAAAGGGCTTTGGTTTATGTATGGGTGTTTCCTAGGGATGGGTTGCAACTGGAAGGGCATCCGCTGCATAAAACGTATGCTGGATAAGTTGGTGGTTCATTCCACTGTGGTGACCCCTGATTAATAATTAGAAAACGGACTAAGACGAAAAGAAAATGAATGGAAGCATGACACCATGAACTACTGGCCTACTTGCCTAATTTGATTATTCCTGGCAGTATGAGTTCAACTAGCAACATGGTCTGGGGGAAATAGGTTCTTGGGAAATTGGGCCTAGTGGCTGATTCCTGTAACAGAATTCCTTACTATCGGTTTTATAAATAATTGATTTGTTAAACGTGGAAAAGGAAAAACCCCACCACTTTTCCTTAGACCCAGCAAATCCCCCAGAACTTCCAGCTGCATTTCAATCAGCTTTATGCTGAAGGGGGTCTACAAAGCCTCTTCTCTTAAACACCAAAAATAAGAATGCGAGAAAGTAATGGTTTCAACTCCATTGCATAGACTCATCTCAATCAAAACACCAATGTTAGCTTTGAAGACAATCTTACATTTGCCTCCACTTCAGCATGCAATAATGTAACATCTCATTTAAAACTGTTGCTAGGTTTTAACATATCTATAAAAGGCTGTTGGTGTGTGTTGGTGCTTTGCCATGGATTTAATTGCTCCCTGTATAGAGACTGTGCAAATTAACATGTTTCCTAGTTTCTAAAGGTTGGACAGCCATTGAAGACTGTATTGTTTGGCATTCACAAACTTGCCACCCACTTCTTGGTGTTCCTCTGCCTTGGGTAGGCCAGTGGCGGAGAGGCGTGACCCGTTTCAAAGGTTGTTTACTTGTATCAGAGAAAGGGCTAAGATGCTCCTCAATGAACTCTTGTCTACAATTCAATTACCCTTGGGGCCCTTCAGCAGCTCTTTATGAAACTCTGTTTTCCAATAGCAGATTTAGTCAATTATGTACAGTATAGAAAGAACTTTTGACTTGTTTTTGAATATTTTTAAAATGTTTGCAGCAGACTGCCCTAATTGATGAATATCATATTTACCAGTGATGTAATTCAGTAAGGCAAGAATTGCGTTGGAAACCAGGATACCGGGTGAGGATTTCACACACTGCGCTGGTATGTCTAGTCTCTCTAAGCGCGTCTAATGAATTATTTTTATTTAATTAAATGTTTTTTTTTTTTTTTTTAACTTCCACTAGCCTCTTTTGCCACTGACCCTGTCTGGTGGAATATTGCTGGCCTAAATTTGTATGTTTTGCTGAAAACCGTTCAGCTCCAGCTTATATATTCTTGAGGCCGGACTTTACTCTTCCTGTTATCTTCAGACTAGACGAGCTTGAAAGAGGAAATGGCCTTTTTTTTTTTTTCTCTTCCCATCCCTTGTTTCCTATTTTTAAAGGGCATTGTGAAGCAGTCTGCAGGAGCCGTGTGGTTGTGGTGAGGCTAGAGATTTTTATTTCTCCTCTGCCATGTCATGTGATGTAATGGGACGCTGAATGGAGCTGAGGACCAATAAAACTTATTGTAACACATACAAGTGAGGCATTAAGCATGCAACTGACAAAATAATACAGCTGCTGTAGTAAGTCAACTGCTGTCTGAGTGGATTTATTTTGCTGAAGTGTCTTAAGTGCAGCCTGAATCAAGATGATCAAATGTGCAACTTGCATGAACACAAACATCCTTTCACAGTTTTTACATTTTATCTTTTGAATGTTTGGTTAAAGTAGTTGTATATTTTAACTTGTATCATATTTAAATTTATCCCTGATCCCACATTTTTCTAGTCGGCCAAAAAAAAAGACACGCATGTAATTTGCTTTCCATTTATTACAAAACCCCCCCCCAAAAAAAACAGCACTGCAAGACACTTGTTAAGAAACAGAATTTAGAAACTAATTTTATTTACAATAAAAAGAAATAATCAGTTAAATTAATATTAAATTTAAAAATTCAGTACTGCCAGATTTACTGTTACTACGGTTGCTGATAACGCTAAATGTATAAAACTAACATTTATAATTTGTACAACCCATATTTATTTTTTGTAATTTTGAGTAAATAACGGAATCATTTATTGAATCTCACGGTTCATTGCTTAATTGATAATTTAATTATTCAGTGGCATATTTTTGATGGCTGGTTGTTGCCAGCTATTAGTTAATGTAATAGCTGCCTACAACTTTAGTTTTTGAGCGCTGTTAAATGCAAATGATGGTGGTTTTAATCTTTACCATAAACATCAGTGGTTATATCTAAACTAAAGCATTACCTCAGTGCTTCTGTTTGACTGTTTTGTAACTTCATCACTAACTCAAGACTAAAGACTGAATCTTTCTTAATTTTTTTTTTTTTTTGCCTTTTAAGATTTGAATGCAGTGATTCGAAAGATTAAATGTGTAAATCACCATTTTTATAATTTGTTGCGTGGGTGTTGAGATCCCAATCTTTTAATGATTGTGCAGCTTGCATTGAATGCATTAATGCAGGCTAAATGAGCAGTGAACGAAAATACCTTTTCACCCATCACATCCCACATAACCTTTCACCCCTTTTTTTTTTATCATTCATTATATTTTACAGGAAAGCTTAAATGCTTTTTTTGCATGTGATTTGAATGATGCAAGGGGTGATCTCTCTCTAAGAATTGGTTTATATAATATTATTAAAAAAATGTATTAATCCGCAGGCCACTTGTGTTCTGAATCATGGGTTGTGAATTACAAGTAGTATTATTAGTTGCGTTGCATGCTGACCATTAGAAAAATTGACCCCAGTCATTAACTGTATGCCTCTGTGTCTTTAATCTTTCCAGGTGAGCTCAACTAGCTGCTGGTCTGACCTGGTCTCCCAACAACCATTGGCATAAAAACATTGGCCTTGGCCTCTTTCCTACTGGAGGGGCATAGGTGAAGGAGTGGACCAGGCCTCCTCTCTTAGTCTGCCATTTACTTAATTTTGTGTCAAGAGGTGGATTGAGGTGCTTAGAAGACCACCCAGAGCATGGGGCAGAAGGTTCCGGGAGGCATAAAGACGGTGGACATGCGGGACCCGGCGTTTCGGCCCCTCAAGCTAGAGCTGCAGGCCCTGGATTACACCAAACCATCCCGCCTGGATATGTTGTTAGACATGCCATCAGCCTCACAGGACATCCAAGTGCAACACTCGTGGAACAACGATGACCGATCGCTCAACATCTTTGTTAAAGAGGACAATAAACTCATATTTCACAGGCACCCTGTAGCACAGAGTACAGATGCCATCCGGGGCCGAGTGGGATACACACGGGGACTGCATGTTTGGGAGATCAGCTGGGCAATGCGCCAGCGGGGCACTCATGCTGTTGTTGGAGTGGCGACAGGTGAAGCCCCATTGCATTCAGTAGGATACACTGCACTTGTAGGAAACAATAGCGAGTCCTGGGGCTGGGACCTAGGACGGAACAAACTCTATCATGATGGTAAAAACCAGCCCAGTAGGACATATCCAGCTTTTCTTGAGCCCGATGAGACGTTTATTGTGCCAGACTCATTTTTGGTGGTCTTGGACATGGATGAGGGGACTTTAAGTTTTATCGTTGATGGACAATATTTAGGGGTTGCTTTTAGAGGACTCAAAGGAAAGAAGCTATACCCTGTAGTGAGCGCTGTGTGGGGACACTGTGAAATCCGAATCCGGTACATCAATGGACTTGATCGTAAGTATCACCATTTTTTTGCCTTTGTGTGATCTGTATCTGTTGGTGAGTGACGAATCTAGTAGTCTTTTGAAAAACGAGATGGTTGTTAAACATTGAAAGTGGCTGGAGGTAGTGTGTCTATGAAGGGCTTCGTTACTCCTCCATTAATTATGTGACGCCAGCTCTGTTTACCTGGATAGCAACCGTGACATCATTCATTATCTTGCACATGTCTTGAAAGCTAATCATTAAGCTGGCTGCTTTATTCTGCTCTTTCCTTATGGACCCTTTTCACAAACCATTTAATTTTTTTAAACAGTCATCAGCTTCATAAATCTAAGTTTTTAATAATTAGATTATTAATATTATTTTTAAAACGTCTATGTATTATATCACCAAGAAACTGATTACTGCTTGTTGGTAGTGTTTCTAATGCAGCGTCTATGGGACTGAGGGTAAATTTGACGTTATTCTCTCCTGTGGCTGCTAATTTTTTTTTTTTCCTTTTTCTGAAAGTCTTTACAACATTGTGGAATTTTTTTTTTTTTTTTTCTTCAGCAAATAAGATTGTAAAAATGTATTTGTTGTATTTTCCCATTCACTGCGCTTTTAAGCTCTCTCAACTATGACGACTTTCGTTACTGGGAAACCTGGTAATGTGTAAAGGGTCCATTGCATCAAGCAAATTCTGCTTTAGCTGTGGAACTTTTAAAAAAGTATTGTTAATTTAAATATTTTAAGTGCTCCCCTTTCTATTAGTCAGGGCTGGACAATAATTCGATATCGCAGAAAGTTTGTCCTGAAGTGTGCCCTGAATACAGTTGTGAATGAACAAGCTTCCACAAGTAAGAATGCAGACGAAGTAGTTGATGAGAGAGGAAAAAACGAATGCAGTGGTGTGGAAGTTGTTCGGCTTTTTAAGTTCTGATAAACTTCGTTTCGATGCTCTGTGAAAATGTGCTGAAGAGAGATGCCGACTATCATCAGGGACGCATCAAATCTGTTACACCCGATAGAACATAGTGAGATTCAGAAGCAATGACAGAAGATAAGGCATCATAAACGTTTAATCCAACCTGTTGCCTCACCACCAGCCACCTTCCCGACACAGAAATCAGCGGTGTCAGAAGAGAAGGCTATGAGGTGCCGTGTAGAATTTAAATTAAACTTCACTTAACATGTGCTTGAATGTTCAAAACATGTATGAAACTTGCGCATTTACATATTAACTTGATGCATGCATATTGCATACATCCTCATACACGCACATGCATAACTTGATCCTCGCATAAACACCCAAATTAACACTCACACAAACTCGCTGCATATAGCACTCGCGCAAACTTACAAAATGAAATTCACAAACATATTTATCAGAAATCTGAATATTGCAGAGCTGATGAAATGGAAAGAATGTGATTAACAGAGGTATTAAATCTGTTCAATATTGAAAATGTGTTGTATAAAATAATATAAAAGATTAGTCTATATAGAAATAGATTTTGTGAAATGTATAACTATTTTGTTAAACCTTTAATTTTAATTGGGTAATAATAAGGGGTGTAACGATTTATTGCGACTCAAATGTCACTGCATCGTGGGGTTATGACGATTTGATTACGATATGATGTCTGTTTCTCTTATTAGTTGAGCTGTTTGCACGTGAGCTACGTTCCACCTGCTCTCGCACGCGAGTTCAGATTGCAGCCGCAGTAATGTTAGCAGACCAAGATGAGTGGAGTTGAAATAGAGGATGGCCCATCCTCTCTAAATCAGTACAGTCATTGCTTTAGACTCGTCCGCTTTTTGACATGCATACTGGGTCAAACATAGCCTAAGTTTTAAAGTATTCACAGTGATTACATACTTTGCACAACGACATGGATGCATCTCAATGGTGTTGAAAGAGTCACATACTGTATTTATAACGTACAATTCACCCTAAAATACCATTCTGTATTCATATAATGATGTATTGGCGGCCGCAAAATCACACATGACGTGAGCTGACCGTGAGCTGTTACTACAGAGGGCGGACTATGATAGACGCACGTGTGCGTCTGCTTTAGCGAACAGAACCTACAGGTTGTGACTAACAGGTAATAAAGTAGTAAACAACATTCAGTTTGTGGAACAGAGTGATCGTTCAGGAGCCGCGTGGGAAGTATGAACAGCAGTGGAAATGAAACCGATAACGTGTACATTATTTAAATAATCATATCGCATTTTAGAGTTATGATTAAGACGAGCATTAACTCTTGAGTACAGAGGTATACAAAAATGCACGTCAACATGATACACTTGATAGCGCCGACATCAGCGACGCCGAAGAAAAAGTAAACCTGTCTAAACCACTGAAAAGAGCCACGACTGTCCTGTGTAATGAAAAGACGGCCACCCTGTCACTCATCATGCCCAACATGAAGACAGCCATCCATAAAAACCTCTCAGACTGACACACATAAGTTAAGGATTATCTTATAGAACTGCTGATTACCTGGAAATGTGGAATTTTTTTTTTTTTGTTTTTTTATTTATTTTTTTTTTTTTTGCACACGCAAAAAACGCAAGTGACCAAGCAAAGCCTTAAGCTCTTACTGTAGAATTCAATTGAATAGAAAGCTATTTGTTTTGCACCTTTACTTAAATTGGCCCCTAATTTTGTCTCTGTCATTTCAATAATATTTTATAATAAGTTTTTAAATTGTTTTATTTTCCAGAGACAGGCCTGTTTAATTTATTTTCTTAAAGAATGGTTAGTTTAACAAGTTGAAACAAAAGAAATACATAAATAGTTTACTTGGTAATTAAATTTTTTTTAAATAATATAATTTTTTTTTAAATAAAATAATATAATTTGCATTTCAGTTTAATTTTCAATTTTTATTCCAAATATCTTGATTTGTATCGAATCGTGAACAGTATATCGTGATACACATTATATCGTGAGCTGAGTGTATCGTTACACCCCTAGTAATAATTACATACACAAATATAAATAGACAGATAGAACCCTTAAAGTAGGATCAAGATAAGCAACCAGAACTATGAATATACTCTTACTCTTTCTATTGCAAATATTTATGTAGCCTACCTTTTTTTTTTTTTTTTTTTTTTTTTTTTTTTTCCTGTTTGTGGATTTTTGTATTTTAATTGTTAAATTATAAACAAAAGTTTCTTTTCACATTGGCAAGCTAACCTCCATGAACTATTTATATATTATGTATATAAATAAATAAGCCGAGTCAGAGTTTTAGTTTTTTGACGGTTCATTTCACATTTCTTGTTTGTAAAGACTAAATGCAAATAAAAACTCGACATTTACTTACATTTATTGTTTTTATAAAAAAAAAAGTTAGGCCTGGTGGTATTATTGACTTTGGATATTCAGTTTGCAAAGATTTAAGTACAGACATCTGTTGTGTGCGTTCTTGGCAGTTTTTTTTCCTGTGTTTTAATGTTGTCCATATCGATATTGAAATTGTCATATCGATTGAAATTAAGAAATATAACGCGATATAAATTTTTGCTATATCATCCAGCCCTACTATTGGTTATTAAATTGAGTTAGCAGTGCAATATTTAATTTTAGATTTATATGAGATTGTCAGTAGGGTTGGGTGATGTTGACCAATTTGACATTGTACGATGTCTAATGTGAAACCTTTACGATGGATGGCCTTGTCGTAGGTGGCGGTGAATTAATAATTTATTAATTCTTAATTTTATTTATTTGTAGCCTGCAGCTCCAACTACCTGACCCACTGGCTCTTTTTTTTTTTTTTTTTTTACCCATCACCAAATCATAAATAAATATAAGTTACACACAAATTACCACCTGTCAGTCACTTTCTGCAGGACTCTGGCATAAATAGGCAGAGGGATCTATGTTATAATGGCGTCGACAAACTTGGTTGGTAAAAAAGGTGCACAACCAAAAGGAACCAGTATCACAGGTTTTCGCTAAAATTACACAAGTGTGAAAGCGAAAGATTGAAGCAGTGTCCTGATGCTGTGTGACGTTAACCTGAAAGGTTCTAAGAGTCCTACCAGTTTAATTAAATATCACATTTAACAACTATAGTGAGACTGCTCTCTGCTCTGCTCTGACGTTTTGTTCAAAGCACTGCCTGGAGCTTAGACTGTGTGTGTGGTCACGTTATGTTTGTTTTCAGCGGAATAGTGTGGACTGAGAGCTGTTCAGAAATGCTAGATAAAACGCCAGTGTGGATGTGGATATTTATGTATTTTTTAAATTCCATTTTAAAACACAAACGATACCCAACCCTAGTTTACACTAACATTTTTTTTTTTTTTCGATACCGGTGCTAAATTGATACTTTTAAAACGGTACCGGTGCCTGAAATGATACCTTTTAGCCACAAAATTAATCGACAAAATATACATATATTTTAATCATTATAATTAAACTTATTATTATAAATATATATTTGTATTGTTCAAAGTAAACATCAATTCATATTTTATTTATTTGAATTACAATGTTTCTTTTGATCAATTTTTTGTTAGCATAAATGCAAGATTTGGAAAGGCTGTCATCAAAGTCAGGAAACACCTTTTTTTCTGGGTTTGGGGCTTTTAACTACTTTTACATGGACATCAGTGATCTAATGATTTGCCTTAATTAGAATAAGACAATAATATGATTCAGGTGTTTACATGAATTGCTTTTTGAATGTTACATTCATGATTCCTAGTTGCATGTTATAGCACATAGATTAGTAACATCATTGTCACCAGCCTAACGTTTACTCCGCAGTATGTGTCTGTGGTCCTTTAAGATAATCAATGTTTACGTAGACTCGTGATCAGAGTACTGTCTTAATCGTATTAAAATCATAGTATTGGTTTCCATGTAAATGTACTCAGATAATGTGTCAGATGATGTCATAAGCTGTTAAAGACAGTCCATTCCTCACCTTTAGGTTGATTCCATAAGCCCTCACATTTCAAAAGGTGACCTGTTTTTCCCTTACATGCAACTTTTGTAAAACATCTGCTGCATGTTGGAGTTTCAGAATCCTTGCTTGTAAAATATAGCCATACTTTAGAATGCTTCGTTTAAGCAAATCAGATGAACGTGATCATTCACATTGATAAAGTGATTCCCTTGCCGCATGCGCCATACTGCTCGCTTTGCCTTCTGTAAGCTACAATAACAAACATCTGACATCGCTAACATCCGTGTCACTCAAAGCTGTTTATAATTAAATATTTAGAGATGGTGCGACGACGCTTATTTATGTGCCTTTTAATGCACCCCTTTGTCCTTCTTAAGGGCGTCACACAGCGAATGCGCTGCTCAGAGCCGCTGCACAACGCGGACATGACAGTTGGTTGATTTACGTTCTTGTTGCAGCACTGAAATTAGTCACCGAAATTGATATGCTAATTTGATTCGGTGCATACAGGCTTCGGTACCCAACCCTAGTGTAAACTGGGCCTAAGTGTGTATTTTTTTTTTTTGCGAGCAGGTTTGCAATGGTGGTGGGGCAGAGGATCGTGATGTCTGTCAACCATCTGCGATAGACTATGGCGTAGTCTATAGGGTATATGCCGAACTAGTGCTGTTCCCATGCTGAAACTTCCGGTAACCTGTTTGTATGAGTTTTTTTTTTTTTTTCTTTTTTTCCCCCATTTTAAATGATACCTTAAACAGCATCGATGTTGTAATGTAGTTAAAAACAATCAGTTAAATAGACTCTAACATTCATTTAGTTTCTCAAGTGTAAAACGAGACAAAGCCATTTACAAGCTCTCGCCCGTCAGAATCAGTAGGCTAGCACAGAAGCTCCATTTGAATATACTGGGTTAAAATAAATGCTCATATTTTTAAGACATGGCGGGGAAAATGTAATTTAATGCAGTGCTTCTTATACAATCTGAGACCCACATTATGTCGGGTATCACTCAGCCAGTGGAAATCGCTGCTTTTTAAAGAAAACAGACCTTAAGCGTTTTTACAATGGCAAACAGTTCACTGGAAGCACTTAACCCAGGTTACTGGCAAATTAAAAGTCCTATTAGCATGCTTCAGCATATACCCCATTGACCCAACCCTAATTGTCAAGTGTCACTTCTCACTTCACTGCTGCTTTCCTATTGTTATCCATTTAAATGTGCAAGATAAATATTTTTGGATTGGTAGACTATGCAAAAACATATTTAATAGAGTTACAGTGCCTCTCGCCATTAGTGTTGGAATCAAATCAATTGTTTCTAGAATTGGATGCATAAAAAAATCAAGTGTTTCCCTTTTCCGTTTTGACTTGATTTGGTCATTGGTTGACTTAATTAATAATACAATATAATATTTGTTTTTTCCTTTCCCCATTTCCAACTTTTTGTTAATTTTTGTAAATTGATATGAATGGTTATGAATTCTCTCTGACTGCATTTTATCAAAAACAAATTCCTATTTTAAGTTGCATAATTTGTAAAGTTAAAATAAAAAAAAATTCTGAACTTTTCTGTGTTGGCTTTGGGTTAAAATGAATAAAACTGTAGATGTTTGGTTTCTTGCACAAACTGATTATAAAACTGAGGAATAAGTATTATCTCATTTAGTTGCACAGTATGCGTTTGTTTTCGTGATGGTATCATTATGGATTTAATAAACTTCATTTGATTTGTTGCATTATCCAGCGCTGACTTTTAAATAATACATGGCTACATTGCTGCTGCATACGTTTATTTCGTTTAGTTTTTTTCTTAGTGGAAAAGGTCAAGGTTTTTGAAAATTGGCCAATCTTACAAATGGGAACTATCTAGCATGAAATGTCCAACCTCAAATTGTTCAATCTTAAGGTTGTTAAATTTCTGCTATTTATGTGTGTTTCTGCAAATCGGACTCATTTCCTCAACCCTACATGCTGTACTGAGTCAGTTTTGGAGGGCATTCTTGTGATGTTATCATTCTGTGGTCGTATAATGAAAGGATGCAGGTGAAGGCCAGACTTTTACTCATGTCTGGGCTTTTCTGTGACAGCTGTAACCCACCTTACTCTGTGGAAACAGTCTCTGAACCGCTAATGATGTCCTGTCTATAGGAATACATGCTTTATCACCTTGATGCTTTGCATGTCATCAGATGATTGAATCACTATTTCCTGAATGAGCCATGTGTAGCTGTATTTAATGAAGGTCTGACTTTGAGAAGTGTTGATGCAGCCTTAATGCATCAATCTGGGATGCAGGTGTTCCCTTTTTTTTTTTGTGAAAAACTCATCCCGTCTGCCTGTAAGAGAAGGGTAGCCAGAGTATTACTCAGCCTTTGACTTCAAGGTCTTGGCTTCCTTTTGTGTCTGCCTTGTGTCAGCGCTTAAATGCATTCCTTGTCATGCTCTTGGTCAGCAGAGGTATAATTGTACAGTTATTTATCCCTTACATCACTCTGTTTGGTTTCCCCAGTGTCTCGTTTGCAGAAGTGTGCATTTATGAAGTAATCTCAACATCCGAGCAGGTGGTGCTGTGTGGAAACCATTCTGAAATCCAAAGTAGTTGAGGTTGTTATATGGCTGGACTAAAGAGGACCTTCGGGGAAACTTGTGATCCTTTTAGGCCAGGTGCGCACTGTGTGATGATTTTTATTTTGGCCACAGTTTCTACTCCAATGGATTAATCTTGATTCAATTATTGTCAGCTAATCAGTTGTTCACATGCAGTAAGCTGTACGAAGACTTGCGTGGAAATCATACTAAAACATTGCGTACGCACAAAGTTGTAGATGTGCGTACGCTGAAAAAAATTCAGATGTATGAAACGCTGTGTACGCCGAATCCCACGCATATTCTTTGTACATCTGAATGTATGTGAAACTGAGTGCAACATGCACGAGCGCAAAACCCCTCCCTGCCTCCTCCCCCGTATGAATATGCTAATGACTCTACTTTGGCAAAACCCAACGAAAAAGCAATGGCAAAAGCAAGCCAAAAGAGAAACTTTAAACAGAATGTGAACTGGAGGTGCTGCTTTCGGAGGTAGACCGGAGAAAAACGATTTTACTTGCAAGTTTGTCCTCCGGAATTAATAACAAAAGAAAAAAAATTGAGTGGGAGAGTTTAGCTGATGCAGTTAACACAGTTAGGTCTGAGCATCGCACTGAGTGAATTAAAAAAGATATAGTGCGACGTAAAGATGTAAAATTTTGTAGTGTCTTTAACAGCCTGAGTGGTGCAGCTCGTTAAATGCGTGTCAATATGTTTTCACACGTTCAGGCATGAACTCTGTTCGAATCAAGCGTCTGAAACTTTCTCTTTTTTTTTTTTTTTTTCCGCTACATATCAGATTTTGCCTATACTCTTCATCATCATGAGAAAGACAAGTAGGAATGATTAATAAGTCTGCATCATATTTTATTTGCACATTTATTGCATGGAAATGTTTCTGATTCACGTATGCAAGTTCATCCTCAGATGTTGCCTTTATAGCAATGTGCGTGCAGTAGATAGCTACGATTACATTGGGGAAAACTGGCGACCGCTGCAAATTGTGCTTTAATGTTTGGATGGTCAACTGTATGGTACGGAAACCTTGTATACTAGACATGCGGATGAACTCTTCTCATACAGCTGAGAAGACACGCACAAAAAAATGTGCGTACGCCAGCCATGAAGTTGGCGTGGAGCTGCACACATTCCCACATTAATTTCATCGTTAATAAATCCAAACATGAGTGATTCTGAGCGTGAAACCTGGCGTACGCAAAGTTTTGTGTGTACGCAGCGTTGATGCATGAGGCCCCTGGTGTGCTACTTGCTTCATACAGAGAGTGAACCAAAGTGCATTGGTGCCATTATAATGAATCAAATCTTTCTAATAATGTATTAGAATAATGTATTGACATTTTCTTCAATATTGCACGGCATAGAAATCCACGAATTCCTACTGTATTGAAAGATTTCAGCTTTTCTCAATGTTTTCATTTCTATTAGTTGCCCAGTCATAGTCACAGTCATGCCTCGTCAAATAACAAGCCAGTGTGTGTTAATTTTAGTTGTTCAAAAAATAATCAGATGGTGAGTTTCCTTTAATTATTTTCAAAATCAAGAAATGTACCCTTTAAGCAATAATCTCTTGCTTGTAATATGAGAGCATATTTACTGTACAAAACCTGTCAGTGAACTATGAGGCCAAAAAACAATAAAAATCGTTCATTAATTGTAATAGTTAATTTTAAATTAATCTTGATTTTAGGCCAAATTGCCTTGCCCTAATTGGTCATTATATACCATTATACAACCACAATAGACTCAAATCATTTTTAACGCTTGCACAGTCATGGACTTGCACTGTGTCTGTTTTGGGTAAATGAGGATCTCTGATTGTGATCGCTAAAACGTGCTGACTGGGAAAAAAACAACAACAACAAAAAAAACAGCCTATGCCCAGATCTTAAAGTTTCTGCCATACTTGTGAGCTATAATTTTTAATTTCTGTCTTTTCTCTGTCTCCCTGTAGCTGAACCTCTGCCATTAATGGACCTCTGTAGGCGCTCTGTACGGGTGGCATTGGGAAGAGAACGACTGAGTGAAATCCATGGACTGCCCTTACCAGCCTCCCTAAAGAACTATCTACTCTACCAATGATGATAGTAGTGCCTTTACAAGCATTCAAGGCATAGCAACTGCCTCGGATTCTCTCTGGGATAAATAGTCTTTCTGGCAAGCCTGTTTCATCATAGTTCTTGGTACCAACGATACTGTTTTTACAAATCCAACCAAGGACACCTCATGCTTGATGCTTTCAGGATCAAGCATGGATTCGTCTTTTGCTTCACTCATGTACTGGAAATCAAACCGGAGGCTTAGGCCAGAATCCTGTGGCAGATTTGAAAACAAGAACCCTTCTTCTCTCTAATCATGGCTTGGTAACTTCAGCTGTTAAAGGCCTTTTTACTTTTTATGATTTTTTTTTTTTTTACTCCATCCCCTTTTTTAATGATGTATTGGCATACCTTAAGCTTTCTTGTATCATGTCATTAGCTTGTGGGTCCACAAGGCAACTCTTTGTGGCCAATGCAAAACAAATTCCATCTCAAGACCGTTAAACTTAACAACCAAGTTTTTAAGTTAATATTGACTTTTTATATATTGCGCTTTTTAAATTATCCCATTGCAGTCAGTATACTGTAGTAGCTGAGTCCACTTCAGATCAGTAGCAGCGGTTAGCATTTTAGCTAATGGAAGGCGAGGTCTCCCCCTGCACACTCTTGGCAGGTTAAAAATAGCCTGGTTTTAGCTGTAAGTCTGACCGTCTGGCCTGGAAAAACAGTCGTTGACGTCTGTGAGAGGGGGGGAGTTTAGAGGCTAGCATTCATGGAAACGGCCACTGCTAGTGTGCTATGCTAGCTCTTTAAAACCACTCAACGGGTCCCTCGCCTCTATTCACACTGCAATATCAGAAAGTGCCTGGCTCAAAATACTGATACATTAGGAGAGAGCCATGATTTGAAGTCCTTTTTATAATGAATGAAAGATGTCATCACTGTGAACCTATGTAGCATACGTTGATCAATAAGAGGTTGTACAGCTTGCTTTGTGTAATGGCCCCTAAATCCTGTGAACACCCACATTGGCAATTTAGTTTTTATCTTGAGGACTGTTTTAATCTGTTGATGATTTGGGGAAAGCAGGAATGGAGTAGTGACACTGCTGTGTGGTGCCTTGTCTATGAGTTAATGAGTGAAACGTGGGCAAATGTTGATGCTCTATTTCTTAAGTCTTGATGCTGAGAAGGTAAGATTGCCAATTGTTGTTTTTCTGTGTTTTTTTCCCCCCTCCCTATTCTAGTATTTTTAGATGTGTTAATCTAGTTCATGTTTGGCAGCCATTTTGCTAAGCATGAGGGGGATAGTTTGGTTGCCTGTTTTTAAACCCTTTCTGCCTGGAGACCACCATTCTCTTTGTATTAAGTGATGTAGATAATATTGGTAACTATCTAATAAAGTTTATTATAATTTAAAACACTTTTGGTTTGTTATTTAATTTGCTTGTGTAACATTTAAAGGTAATTCATATAGTTGACATCAGAATTATTAGCCCCCCTTTGATTTAATTTTTCTTTTTAAAATATTTCCCAAATGATGTTTTACAGAGCAAGGCCATTTTCACAGTTTGTCTGATAATATTTAATATTCTGGAGAAAGTCTTGTAATATTTTGACTAGAATAAAAGCAGTTATAATTTTTTTTTAAAACTATTTTAAGGTCAAAATTATTAGCCCCTTTAAGGTATATATTTTTTTCGATTGTCTACAAAAAAAAAAAAACATTTATACAATAACTTGCCTTATTACCCTAACCTGCCTAGTTAAGCTAATGAACCTAGTTAAGCCTTTTAATGTCACTTTAAGCTGTATACAAGTGTCTTGAAAAATATCTGGTAAAATTGTTTACTGTCATCATGGCAAAGATAAAAATTAATCCGTTATTAGAAATTAGTTATTAAAACTATTGTTTAGAAATGTGTTGAATCTTCAGTTCGTTAAACTGAATATGGAGGAAAAAATAAATAGGGAGGCTAATATTTCTGGCTTCAACTGTATATTCAAAATGTCCTTTTTCTGAATGTATTGCTTGTTGAAAATTATATTGGGGTGGGATGTTCACATTTTGGTAGGCTTTAATTAGAGCGGTCTCTGCAGTGCAGAGTGAGTCATCAGTATTTTAGGGCACTGTGATTTTTGGAAGACAGGCAAAATGAAAATCCAGTGCATTTAGATTAAAATGTGGCGCTATAAAAAAAAAAAGAATTAATAAAAAAAAAATAAAAAAAACTTCTAGAAAACCAGTCAAGAAAAATTTGTATTTGGAGAAAAAAAATTTAATAAAATTGATTTTCATATTTCTCTTATTACATGAAGATGATACATCAAGCTTAAATCCTCATAACAGCCTGGAAGAAATTCATTCTAAAAATGCAGTCTTCAGTAATGGATTGAATCATTACAAGTCTTCATGCTTAAAGATGCACGTTAGATGCTTAGATTAAGGGAAATTTAATCTGGCACTGTTTAGCACTGTTGCCTCGCAGAAAGAACGTAACTGGTTCAAGTCTCTTAACAGGCCAGTCGACATTTCTGTGCGGAGTTTACACGTTCTCCCCGTGCTCGCATGGGTTTCCCTCAGGATCTCCGGTTTCCTCCCAGTCCAAAAACTTGCGACATAGATGAATTGACTAAACCAAATTAGCACCATAGGCGAGCTCTTAATTAGCAGTATATTTCTCTGTAGCAGTCTCTAATTTGTCATTAATAGAAAGGGAATTCTTGAGACATACCTGAACTCAACCTCCTCTCTCGCCCTGCAAACAGGCAGGAACCCCAAGCTCAAGGATCTTATGAGCTCAGGGCTCTCTCCAGGGACAGCATGCCAAACACGCTTTATAATCAATCATCAGCTAAGTGTGAACTCTTAAAGCTTTGGAGAACAAGCTTGCTAAATTAATAAATGTAAAAATGTGAATGGAGAAATATAGTTTAGCTTTAAAATGCAAACAATCAATTATGAGATTTGGTATAAAGTATATATTGCCCTACACAAGTATAGTGTAACACATGTATGTGGATAATCTTATCCGGAGACAAAATACATAGTTTTTATGTTACTGTTCTCAAATAAAACTGTTTAATAATTTATAAAACAAACACCTTTGACTTCCTCTTTCTTTTAATACCCCATTTAAGGGATAAAAATGGTTTTCAAAACTTGGAATTGTTCATATTCATTGAAGTTGCTGATCAGATGCTTTTTAACTGCTCAAAATGGTACAAACTGTTCAAATAGATTAATATTTGATGCAAAAATCAATTAGGACATGTGCATTAACAAGGAGGAAACTGAAACATTCAAACACCAGCGGCTAAATCGAAATTTTATTTTGTTGATACACGGTCACAGTACAAACAAGTCCTGCCTTTGTTCCTCTGCTTGAAAGAACATTGCTTCAATAACTCGTTTTGTTGATGTCAGTGCGTGTTTTATTCATTCTCCAGCATAAACACTGGAAACTTAATCTGTAGACACAACAACTCCATAGCGAGACCAGAACAAGGAAAAATCTGTTTTGAGCAAACAGCATCTCCTCCTGACAGTTGTTTTAGGATTGAGATCTTCAATTAGCGTCCACCCAAAAGCAAATGAGCTGCCGCGTGTAATGAAGAGGATTTTCATATCGCTGTCATCCTGACTGGCCCGTTGTCATGGCCATGTGTTTGCATACACAGAGCGCTGGATCTTCAGCATGAGGTCACTCATCTCAAGTATGCAGCTTGGCTGGAACACTGTGCTGTTTGGGTGTCTGGAACGGCACATTCCTGCCTGTAATATTTTCAAAATGGTGAAGGCTGGGAGTTTCTGTGTACGCTTTTTATGAGCAAAATGAGTCCAAGTTAGCTTGTGACTGTAGAAATTTGTTATCTGTAGAGGAACTGTTGCAAGTTCAGGAGGTTCAGTGGACTTTGCTGTGATGAATTGAAGTCATGTTTTAAGAAACTTGTGATTCTGTGTATGCTGCTTCAGCATGTGCTAGTAGAGTGGATGTTGCATATCAATATTTAGCTTTGTCAGGCCTGGTGTTTATAGCTGCCATCTAAGATGTTTCAGTTGACTGGATCCATCAGTACATGAGGAGATTCGTATGCATTTACATTCTGTTGAAAACTTTCTTTCAGGGAAGAGTCATTGCTTCTTTGGGATTTTCTGATCATTCAGTTTATTGCAAAATAAGTTCACGCAGTTGTATATTAACTTCTAAAGGTGGCAGTTTTAGAAAATATCCCATTACCCTTAAGTTGCTAGTTGAATATCGCCCAATGGAAATTTTACATCAAATTTTGCAAAACCTACCATCCAAAAATAATTCTGATATGCTCATGAGGTGGTTTCAGAAAATTGCGATCAAAACATTTATTTTTAATGTTTATAGGTCACTTTGTGCATTTAAAAAAATCATGATCATAAGATATTTTACGCCATAATTTTAATTTATTGTTAGTTTCCCTTGGCCACGATGCCTCAAGATAGTCAAAAAAGGTGGATCAGTTCAAATGGATCTTCTAAATCTATAGTTCCTTGAGATATTGTCTTAATGACCAAAACACCTCATAACATGCCTTTGCATTTATGTATTTATTTAAATATGTGGCTGATACATAAACCTACACTACCTGGCAAAAGTCTTTTTGTCGATCTGAACTGTTAGAGCAAATAATAATAACTTTGCTTCTAGTTGATCATTTGGAAAAGTGGCAGAAGGTAGATTCCCCAACCACAATCCAAATCATCACAAATACTACAGAAGACCTTTTGGAACCTGCATGGTCACAAAGATTTCCACAGAAAACAGTCAAGTTTGGTGAAGGAAAAAATCATGGTTTGGGGTTTGATTCAGTATGGGGGTGCAAGAGGTCTGCAGAGTGAACGGCAACATCAACAGCCTTAGGCTTCAAGATATTTGTGCTGCCCATTACATTACAAAACACATTAGAGGGCAAATTCTTCAGCCTTCACATCAAAGTTCCTGAAAGTAAAGGTCAAGGTGCTCCCGGATTGACCAGCCCAGTCACCAGATATGAAAATTATTGAGGATGTCTCAGATAAGATGGAGGCATTGAAGATGATTTGTCTAAAAGTCAGACCTCACTGTCCTAATTAAATAGTTTTATTTTGGTAAAATAAGCATAAATTAGAGGCCTTTGTCTTTTCATACAAGCCATCTCTGATACCAAATGATCAACTAAGTTATTTCTTGTTGCTTGGCAAAGAGACTCTTGTCAGTTAGTGTACTAACATAAGATTTTTGCAATTACTTGGTGCTTTTGTCAAATCACATCGCTTAATGCAAGCGCTGCCATTTACATGATTTAGTTCTTTCAAATATGTATATAGACTTTAGAAACCTGTTGAAAATCTCTTAGAGCAGTAGTGTTGTCAGCATTGCAGGTTGAATGTCAATTCAAAAAGTTCCATCTTTCCAGAAGGCAGTGAGTGGGACACAAAGTGGAGCAAATGGCTCATTCCAGCTAGCTGGTCGAGTTGGGTATGTCCTATGTGGGATGTCTTCGTTATAGACTGCCAAATACTGTAAATACAACGGCCTTCTGTAAATGGACCCCATTGTTTGATGCGAAACTGTAATTGTGACTTAGCAAAAAGAAGTGCATTCAAATGCAGTTATTCAATGGTTGGCTCACCCCAAAATGATAATTGACATTTACTCACTTTTGTCTCTCCAAACCGTCGCTTGTTCTCAGAAAACAAAAGTATTTTTAATCAAATTCTGTCTCTCAGTTGAAGTCTATTCACCCAAAGAGCTCTACATGAATTGAGCTGTTTAATCGTCCAAAATCTTCTGAATAGGCCTTTATTCACATGTAAGCGATGATTAGTAAACGGTGTTTTAGCATTGATATTTAGTCGCAGAAGCTGCTTGATGGTTCTCACACACCATGTTTGAGGATCGGTTTATGTTTTACTCTTGTAAATAAAAAAGAGAGATACATAAACCATATTAGGCTGCTTGCTTGTTGCCACTTTGTTGTTATTTTAGAGGCAGCTTTTGTGCAAGAAGTTACCTCGTAGATCTGATTTTAGACAGAATGGCTTTTCAGACAGCATAACAGTTTGATCACATACAACAAAATAGAGAACTTTTTCAATAGCTGAAGCTATAATTTGAGTTTCCACTAGAATTCACATCAAAAGTCAAAAATGTTGGTCAAAAACATACATTTACATGAAATTCATACACATGCGGTGCTTTGAGAGACCAGCTTGCTTTTTCTTATTTATTTAAACTCCATTGTCAGAAACGGAACACACAGGTTTGTTGGATATCAAAGCACACATCTAAACTGCCAATCTTTTTGGCTCAAGACTTCCAGTCTCACACTTCCATTGATTTTTGGATATTAAAAACAGCTCTTTCTGCTGCTTGATGTTGCAAACTGATATTTTCTTATTATATT